ACTAAAGCTAACTTTATCCTAACCTTTAACCTAACCTTAGAATGTCATGATTCATGCTGCTGGGACCTACCCATAATGTGACTGTAAAAAACAGATTTATGTCCCCACAACATAAGTAATACCTTCCCACAAAGAAACACACAAACACACACACACGCACACACACACACACACACACATTCATTCATTTGCTGCAGTCGTCTTTCCATGACTTCAGAGGACATTGCATTTTCTAGAGACTTACTCTAATCTAACCATACCTACTACTTGGCTAGCTCTAGCCTTCATCCTAACTTTAACCTGACCTAAAATTTAAAATGTGATTTGATAAGTCCCCATAATGTGACTCCATCAACAGAATTAGGTCCCTACAATATAAGTAATACTCAGCCACAAAGAAAAACACACACACACACACATGCAAGCAGACTAATGCACAGGCCATTTTCTAGAGATTAATCTTAATCTTAACTAAACCTAAAGCTAACTTTATCCTAGCCTTTAACCTAACCTTAGAATGTCATGATTCATGCTGCTGGGACTTACCCATAATGTGACTGTAAAAAACAGATTTATATCCCCACAACATAAGTAATACCTTCCCACAAAGAAACACACACACACACACACACACGCACACACACACACGCACACACACACACATTCACGCATCCACACACACGCGCATGCACACACAAACAACAACATCACACACACACTCACAGTGAAGCCTGTTGCAGGCGGCAGCAGCTGCTGTGTGTAAAATTAGACTGTTTTGAAAGCTGAGAGTCCATCAGCAGGACTTTCACCTGCAGACCGGGCCGTTACCATGACAACCAGCTGTCAGCGGGACAATATAACTCCACTACTCCAGCTCACGTATGTGTATGTATGTGCACTGAAGTGAAGAAATTTAGAAGACCGGCGGCAGAAAGTAAAGAAAGTGTGGGACACTCGAAGCTCACCGATCACTTCAGCACAAGATTTCTTTCCATCTCACTGTCCATCACTCCTGTTCCGGAGCAGCCACATGGGATTATCAAGACAAATGACCTCCCAAAATATTGGTAAAATAGATTTAAAGGTGTGTAAAATTACACACAACCAAAATAAAAGTGAATATTGTGATAAGGAATAATGAAGTTTAAAGGTTTATTAGAGGAAAAACAAAGCAGTGTGAAGAAAATCTGACCATCATGCTGCCGTCTGACAAACAGCATCCAGGAAGTTGACATGAAACTCCATCTAGTGGACTCTACTGGGAAGTGACAAGCATGCATGGATTTATTTACTGTCTTCATCAATCTGTCCTCTGGAGTTTAAACTCTTGTAAATAACATGCTGTAAATGCTCGACACCAAACAAAGAGAGACTTCAGACTCAGTTCAGAAAATGATCTCGTATCATCATGCAGTAGAATTAAATTATGTGAAATGTGTTGGAGATATTGATGGCAGTACTCTTTGCCCAGTGTGTTTGTTATAGTTGAAGAGACAAGACAAGATAAGAAAAGATAATATAAGATGAAAATGTTAGCAATCCTGAATGAAATTCTTGTGGCAGATATTGCTCAGAAAAAACAAAATGACTGCAGTAGAAAAGCAACAAGACATACAGTCGTCCTCAAATGTATTCATACCCTTCCACTAAAGAAAAGGCAAAATTCACAACAGTCACTCAGATAACTAGAAACTGAAAAAAGTAATACTGCATTAAAAAATGCTAAATTATAATTTAGTGAAATAAGACATTGCTTTTGAATTGTGAGTGAAAAGAATGATTAAAAAAAAAAACAACAAAACAAATTAGAGCACTTTGCTGATGAGCAGTGAGCCAAAATCAAAATACCTGTTAACAGGTGCAGAAGTCTGATTAAGAGTTACAGCAAACACTTGATTGCAGTGATTGGCTCAAAGGGTTGTTCAACAAAATATTAGTTAACGGGTCCCATCATGCTTGTTTTATATATATACATATATATAGTATGTGGTTCTGTTGAACCACAATTCAAAAGCAATGTCATGATTTTCATTACATTTTTATTTATTATTATGTTTGTCAATTTCAACTTATTTCAGTAACAGCTGTTTTTTTTCCTTCTTTAATGGGACGGTATGAATACATTTGAGGACGACTGTGAATATGACACATCATAGCTAAAATATCGCTGAATAGAACAGTAAAAGTCATGCTAGCAGTTATTCTGAGGTAATATCACACATGACAGTGAAATATTGCACCTGAGAAATGAATATGAAATATTGCACATTAAAGTAAATGCTACACATGATACTGAAACTGATGATGCACATTACAGCTTTCATGTAAGATCTTTGGGTTTGTAGACACTCCAGGTGCAGATATAGAAATACTATGAGCTAGGAGACTTTATTTAATACATCGCTGTCATTGTAAACAACAACTGCACTGACCCTATAACGTGCACACACACTCTGACATCCAAACACACTTTGTAGAATTACATATATACGAGAAAAACACATTTTCATTGCTGCTGCTTGAGGCCACGATGTGAGGTCACAGTGGTCCTGCAGCAAGTGACATACTTGCAGAAAAGCATCAGATGAAATTAATTTATCCACGAGAATATGGGACAGTGTTGTGTGTGAAATAGGCCAGCAGGCCAGCAGAGCTTAGTCAGGGTTCCTGTGATGTTACAGAAGCTCTGCAGTGACGTGAGGCTGAGTAAGAACCATCTGCTCTTCAGCCGCCGCTAAATGGATTAAAGCTGCTGCAGATCGATTCTGAGTCTACGGTCAGTGCAGTGGTGGTTTTACGTCTTAAAGAAGGTGGTCAGTCTGCTGTGTTTCCGCTCAGACAGCTGTTCCTGTCTGCACTGAGGTCCACTTACTGTCTAGTCACCACCTGGATGCCCTGACTTCATGATGTCTGGCGTCCTCTTGTAATGAAGGCGTTGTCGTGCAGTAGATTTTTCATGTTGTACATTCAGGATTCTGTGTTTTGTTCAAGACTGCACGATCAGACAACACCAGTGATATCGCCTTCCTAATTAATTTTAAGATTTTGCTGTTTGTTTTTAAGGTTTTAAAAGGGCTGGCACGTTCTCATTTAGAAGAACGTTTACATTTTATTCCCCGCAAGAGGTCAATTAACCAGATGCTCTTCGATGTTCCAAGATCTCGACACAAAAAAAAGAGGAGATCGAGCCTTTGTTCACCTCTTTATGTAAGAAAAGCTGAGACTTTAGAAGCTTTTCAGTCACTTCTGAAGATAGTCTCTTCCATTTAAATAGAGCCTGACAATCTGATGTTATCTTTCATTGTGTGTTATTGTGTCTTTAATTTGATTTGTCTTTTTGTCCATTTGTTTCTGTCTTGTGTGCTGCTCCTTTTAACTGGACAGCATTTCCTCCTGTTGTTTTAAATGTGCTTTATAAATATAATTGACTTGACGACATGACTAAAAGGACTCGGCCGGATTTTCTGCAGCTAATCCACCATCATCATTTGACCTTTCGCCATCATGCAGAAATGTCACTTCATATAAGAGTAATTAAACCGCCTTAGAGGACGCAGAACAACGCTGACCCACTGACCTCTGTGTTTCACATTTACTGACCCTGTGGATTCAGATAAAACACTCTCACAAAGATAACTGCTCAGATGGAGACATCTGGTGTCCAGCCTCAATCGATGGCTTCGTTTCTGTAAATCTACTTATGTTTTCTTCATTCTGAACTGTAACGGCCTCACAGTGTCCAGTGATTTTATATGTCTGCAGAGGTTTGGAGGTCATTCGATCCTCAAAACTGAAACCAGAGAAGGGATTGTGAAGTTTTTTTTTTATTTTCAATGTAGCTTCATAATCGTACATTTATGAGAAAATGTCACTTTTTCCGTCTGAAAACATTAAAATCAGTCCTCTTATTATTTCTGCAATAATGTGAACATGCTTTCTGTGTTTGCTTCATAGAGATCGATTTTGAACAAAGACCTTCTTCTTTCCACATGAAGTTCATTTCTACTGATTTTTTATTTTTGTTGATTTTGTAAAACTAAAAATCAAACATTACTTTCATGCTGTTTTTTCCCATTGAGCATCACATTAGGTTTAGATTTTAGAATATTAGTTGTGTGAGCCTTTAAACTGCATTTTTCTCTCTTTAGGCTTTTCAGACGTTTGTCAGGCTGGATTAACTTGCTGAACAATGTTTTGTGGTGACGTTACAGGCTCTCGGAGCTCGTTTTAACAGTTTTGCTCAGTCAGAATTACGTGACATACAGAGTTCAGGGCAGCTATGGAAATGAACTGAATATCCTCTGTTAGCAGACTGGACTACATGCAGGAGAGCTCTGCTGCGAGGAACAGATGGTTCACTGAGATTAAACCACTGACCTGCTAGTGGTAAAAGGTGCTGTGACACTGTTGATGCCTTGCAGCAAAAAATAACAAGATTTACCTTCAATTTTAACTCCAGTTAACACACATCAGGCTTATTAAAGGTCACATTCATGACTGATTTGCACTACACTTCACTAACAATGAATGAGACTTAATGATACTTTATTCAAAACCAATTTCCAGAATAAAAAAAGCAAATAAATTGCTAAAAATATCAAAATAAAAGGCAAATAATCTAGGAGGGAAGTTCTATAATGATCTGTATTTTATCTGCATGTAATATTGTTAAATGAAAATACATTCATGGAAACTTCCCTTCAGTGACGTTTTGTTTTGCAGTCTACATGTTGGGGTTAATTCCCAGTTGAAATCCTGTTCAGTCTGTGTGGGAATACAGCAGCCGGAGGTCAGATTAAAACAGAAAAGGCCAGTTGGCCACGTGCAGACCAGGTTGGGGTTAGAGCTTAGAAACAGATCAGTGTCGAGGGTATAAAAACCAGCTCAAACAACTAGTGTGTCACATGCAGAGCTGCTGTTCTCTTGCAGGATCTGACTGCCGGACGCCACAGAAACACTAATTAGGCGAAGAAATACATTCATTAAATTCAAAACTTTCGAAGAAGAGGAGGGTCAGAGATCTAAACTGCAGCCATGGTTCTGGAGGACGAGTGCGACTCTGTCTTTGAGCAGCAAATCACTGTGAGTATCATCTGGAGGCTGTTAAAACTGTGTTAAATTGAACTTCTACATTGATGTCGCTGCATTTGATTCTGCAGCAGTCAGTCAGATTGTTGTTATTAATTGTGTTCCGTTGTGTATAACCTGTGAACTGTGTCAGTTCACAGGTTTAAAAAAAAAAAAAAAAGCTTTAAAACTGACTTCTGATCTAAACTTTATGTTCTTCGATGCGCTATGTTTCAGGAGGAACATGTGGAGACCCAGTATGGGAACGTTCACTGCACCATGACAGGATCTCCGAAGGCGAACCGCCCTGTGATCCTCACCTTCCACGATATCGGACTGAACCGTGAGTCCAGACTCTGTTTACATCCTGACACACCTGAACACTGGTAGACACGATTAAATATGCTGGCATCCAAATTGATTAACACTGGGATCCAATTCATTTCTGCAACATCAGTGTATTTGTATCATGTGAGTTAAGAACTAATTCTCTAAGGTATCTGAAGAAGTACAGCTTGTTGGTTCATTAATGGAAACTTTTGCATCAAACCAATCAGCGTCACATTTCATTTACCTACATGTCTTCTTATCCTATATTCATATTGAATAATGCCCTTTCCACACTTTCTAAATTCTCTCAAAATACACATTTTTTTTTTTCTGTATTGGATCTCATGTTGAAGTCATATTTGTGTTTTCTCTCTGCAGATAAGTCCTGTTTTGAGACTTTCTTCAACCACGAGGACATGCACGAAATCCTCAGACATCTGCCTGTTTGTCACGTCGAAGCTCCAGGACAACACGAACAAGCCAAAACTCTTCCCACTGCGTCAGTACACTGTCTTTATCGCTCTTATATTCATATTTTAGGCTGTAATTGTTGAGTTTCACAACCATACGTTGGTGGATTTCGCCCCCACTGATGGTAAATTTGATTTTGCCCCCCAGGTATACTTATCCCACCATGGACCAGCTGTCTGAAGCTCTGCCTGCTGTCCTCAAACACTTTGGGTAAGACAAAGCTCCTCAGGTCTCTCACACTTAATCTGATATCAAACACTATTGGTCCTCAAGGTCAAGCTTTAACCAATTAACCTTTTTGACATTTTGGTTTGGCAGGTTGCGGAGTGTGATTGGCCTGGGAGTCGGAGCAGGAGCTTACATCCTGGCTAGATTTGCTGTGAGTGCAAAACTTTACTCTAAATCTCATCAGAACAAAGACGGTGCTGATGCCTGGTTTGCAATTTTAGATTTATGAAGGAAAAATACAACAGGAACTGAATTTAGTACAGTTTTTAACTTGGTTTCTCCTAGTGTGAATGAGAATAACAGGAAAGTCTTGCTACAGTTGCTGACCACATCTTTACTGTAATAACACACCAACTGTTCTGACCTACTGATAAACAAGAGTCTTTAGCAGTTTCTAATAGCCATGTTACCTGAAAGAAAAGTCTCAACACTTAAGCTTCTTTCAAGGAAAAAATGTGTCAACGATATTAATGAAAATAAAAGTAAATGAGTTGCACTTTTTCTTACAGTATAAATTGTTTAACGGAGTCTTAATTTCTCCTCTGTTCAGCTGAATCACCCTGATCTGGTGGATGGATTAGTTCTCATCAACATCAACCCCAACGCTGAAGGAATCATGGACACTGTGGCAAACAAGGTAGGAAATATGTAGTTTGTATATATGTAGCTCACAAACCTACCTTGGATTTACTTTAGTATTGTAAAATTTTAATGGATAAAACCTTGTGTTCTGATCGCTTTTAGTTAGATTGGATTGATTCTGACACTTCAGACTCACCTCTCCACGATTATTTTAAATATTATTTGCTTTGTTATTTTACAGATCACTGAGTGGACCCACACTCTCCCAGACACAGTCATCACACATCTGTTTGGAAAGGTAGGTTCACTCTGCCGCAGCTCGCTTCAGTCGCCATGACAGCAAGAAAAAAAACGAAACTTAATGAGATTAAATGTGACTTACAGGAAGAGATCCAGACCAACCACGACCTCATAGCGACGTACCGTCACCACATCACAACCACCATGAACCAGGCCAACGTCAGCCAGTTCTTGCGCTCATACAACAGCCGTGGCGTTCTGGAGGTGGAGAGGCCTGTTCCTGGAGGAAACATCAACGTCAGGACCCTCAAGTTAGTAAAACCACCCACCCCGAAACACGTTCCACCAGTCTGTGTGCAGAATTTGCAGTTTCATTTTGTTGCATTCTTGCAGCAGCTCCTGTTAAACCCTCTCTGTTGGTTTTGCAGGTGCCCCACTCTGCTGCTGGTAGGAGATAATTCTCCTGCTGTGGAGGCTGTGGTCGACTGCAACTCCAAACTCAACCCCACCAAGACCACACTGCTCAAGGTAGCCAAATAACAGACTCAAAAATAAAAGAAAGCATGCAAAGAAGCACACACACACATACATCCATGCAATATGCGATGTATTAATATGATATTTTATGAAACTGTAAATGTAAATTTGTTGTCTTGTTCTCTCCCAGATGGCCGACTGTGGAGGACTTCCTCAGGTGGATCAGGTGTGCAGACACTTTTTTTTTTTTGGCTTTTCTAACAACACTGTAGAATCTTTGCACTTTATTGGTTGTAAATGTATTTAATTCTTTTTATGTTTGTCTCCACAGCCGGGCAAAGTGATCGAAGCCTTCAAATATTTCATCCAGGGCATGGGATACTGTAAGTGAACTTAACCTGAGACTATTTTAATTGTATCCATTGAGCTCTTCCACTGCTTATTTCTAACAAAACACTGTTAAAACTCACATTCTGTAAATAACGTTAATGCTACCCCGCTAGTAAAATCAATAATGTGCAGTATCAGATGGCAAAAACAAGTCGCTTAAACGTATATATAAGACTACTGGAGTCTGATCTTTCCCTCCTTTATCTCCAGTGTCCAGCGCCAGTATGACCAGACTTCGCTCTCGGACGACCTCCAGCTCCAGCGTTTCCTCCTTCGACCTCCCTCGTAGCCGCGCACACACCAACGATCTGCAGCGAGGCCGGACACAGTCTCACGGCACCGAGGACAAGCGTGGACGCTCGCACACCGACGTCTCCATGGAGAGCATCTCCAACCAGAACATCTCTAAGACCACTGAGGTGGCCTGCTAGAGTGCCGGCTCCTCTGAATCCCATGCACTTAATTCACATTATACCTCACTTTATCTACCCATCTGTATCCTGTATTCTCTCTTTACTCTCCTGTTTACCCATCTTCATTCAGTTTTGCCCTTTCATCTGCACTATCTCCACTGGAGAGCTCACAGGTCAGGCTTCCTCGTGACTCTCCTCCATCCCTCCCTCTGTGTTTGTTCTCATCCATCTATTTAACCATCTTTTATTGTATTCTTCTTTATTCTGCTCTACAGTGTTATTGTATGTCTCTGTTTCTGTATTATTTCCTCTCCTCTGCAGGATGTAATATTTATTATTGAATGTATATGAGAGAACTGTGAAAGCTGAAACGTTTTCTTCGAAAGCTGAAGCTGTGTTTATCTACAACTCGGATGTCATGAATGAAGAGTATAATGATGCAGTATTTCATGGCAAAAGCGGCTTGTTCATAACTGTAGGAATGTGCATTGATTGTATGCAACTATGCCAGCTGTGTATTATTGACTGCAGGAATGTTATGGACATGTGATTTAGCAATGCTCTGTGAAATAAAGTTATGTTAAAACCGAATTGTTACATTCAATTCAATTATTACAGCACTTTGTGTGAGTACAACTTGTGCTACCTCTGCTTCTACCAACCACAAAATAGAAAAACTAGATCGCTGATTTAAATAATTTCATTCCCATAATCCAGTGGCGGTTCTGCACAGGGGCCTACAGGGTTCGGTGCCCCTGTCCAAATGTCGCTGGCCCCTGTGCTGGCTGATTAATAAATTGATCACTTTATAACGATGGCATGTACTAGCGCCAAAACCGAAACTAATGTGGCTCTATAATAATAATCAATTTTATTTGTATTGCACTTTACATTTTCACAATCTCAAAGTGCTACAGACGAAAGTAGTTAAGATTTTTCAAACAGTTTATGCTCTCAGCCTCCAGAATGATGCCCTTTTAAAGGCCAGCACTGTGTTTTCATTTGGCTGCTTGTACGATGCAAACATTGATGATTTAGGACATAAACTCCATCAATTTAAGCGAATTTTGGATCTAAAAATACAGAGTGGTGAAATACAAAAAAAGCCATGTAGTGCAGTTGAGCTAAACTGTTTCATTGAGCCATACAGAGAAGTTTCTTTTAACTCTTTCGACTGTGCGAGATTGCCATCACTCTTCCAGTAAGCTCTGCCTCCTGCTCTGAACCTGACAAAAACACTCCTGCGGTCCACCATTTCTGATGATCGACTCAGTGATCTTGATGTCCTGAGTATAGAACCTAGAAGGGTCGAGGCCTTGGATCTTAACATATTTCAGGATCAGTTTGCCAGACAGCACAACCGCCGTTGCTATAGTGACAGTGGATGTTGAAAGGGAGGAAACCAAACCACTTATGTTACGTGTGACTGATTTCAAATGTCCCTTATGTTACACATTTTAACACTGGCCCTGATAACCTCATTGTGTCAGTTCATGTATTTTTGGTAAAAACATAAACTTTTGTTTCACTTTAATATAAAGTAAATAAAAGTTTTTAGTGCTTAAATATCATTGTTGGTGTTTTTTAATGTGCCCCTGTAATTAAACACTGGCTGCACCTTGCCCCCCCCCTCAGTAAAATTTGTCTAGAACCACCACTGCCACAATCACTTGCATTAAAGAGCAACTTTTAAAGTTTGCGCAGTCTGCCAAGTGTGCTTCACAGCTTTTGCAGAGACTTTTGTGATGGATGGATAGATAGTACTTGTCCAGTTACACCACTAGATGGAACCCTAGAGCCTCCTTTGGCTCAGATTTATGTCGCTACTGGATTCTCGCCGATTGTAGTGTTTGAATCACCGCATTTAAATCACGCAGAAATCCATCTTGTCCCAACACAGGAGGTTTTTAATATCGCTCTTCTAGCACAGCATTACGGCTCTTTTTAATATCACTTCTCATCCTTTCCCAGAGGGCTGGATTAAAGTGCGTTGTGTAACAGCTCTTTCACATTCTTGCTTTTTGTCCTTCTTCTTTTATTTATTTCTGCTCTTGCTCCTTGACATGCATGCACGCTCATACAACATTCATTCCTTCATTCCTTTGATTGGTGGTTTGCTTATTCTGATTATCTGTTTAAGCTATTTGACTATTTTTGGCTCCTTAAAAAAATCTAATTATGCAACAAACACGTGAAAATAACTTGCCGGAAGAAAATAATAAAATAAAAAAGAAATATGCAAGCCTTTGGCAAATTAAGTTAGGAGGGTTGGACAGAAATTGAAAAAGTCTTTTCACTTTAACATCTGCCAACAGCATTCAAATTGTAATGATGCTTGAAGAATTATCTAATGCTATACAACATATTTTATCTTTATTCTCATGTCTATATAATCATTATTTATGATTTCACCAATAACACCAACCCTGTAAAATACCAAACTGTACAGTGGGAGCTACATATATCAGAGTCTAAAGCTGCAACTGAACTTTGACTTCCTCATTTTTGTGCAAATTTAAACCAGAATGCTCTAAATATGATATTTTAGTCCCAACAGCTGCCAAAAGTGTGAACGCGGGATCCACTGGTGGCCAAGCGTATGTGATTCATAACATCGGGAGTTTTTAATCCACCTAAGTGTCACCCTCCCTCGCGGCACAGTTTGCATCTTCTGTGCGGATAAAAATAATTTTTGAATCGAGTGTGTGTCTGCATGAATGTGTGTCTGCGTGCGTAGGTGGGAGTGTGCGTGGGCCTGTCAGTGGATGGATTGTTTTGGGCTTTGATTGCGACACAGTGCAGATACACAGATCCAACACAGCATAATGGCAGTCAGCATCAAAGTCACAATTATTTTGTTTGTGTGAGTGCGCGTGTGTTCGGAGTGCATCTTTATTTCAAAGCCTCTTTTGTTTGGCTCACATTATAATACCGTGATGAATAATGTATGACAGAAATCTCTTAAGATTTTCATTTAAACACGAGACTTCGGCTCTCGCGTGTTTCTTCTGTGTCCTTTCATTTCACTGTTCTGCTCTACTGCATTGGGCTACACTGAAAAAACACCAAATCCTGAGTGTTCCAAGCTGAATCTGATGGCTGCCCTGCAACTGTATTGATTGCTGGTCTAAAGAGGGGCTGACAACTGGAGTTCATTTTACTTGCCTACAACAAAGCAGTTTTGATTAGTTTATAGATGTTTTTATTCAACTCTGTGATCAGACATTCACGGTCACAGAGTGCAACAACACTGCTCTGACACTCCCTCTGCGTTTTCACTTCATTTACAGTGTACAGCAGAAGTGAGAGCAAGCTTGTGCAAGGATCATCTAAAGGTCATGTGATTGAAAACTGTACCACCCTACAGCAACTGCATTATTTCTATATTAAACAGTTGCTGTTATGTACATTAAAAAATAACTGACATTTACTACATTAAAAATACAGCAGGCCTCACACTAGGAACTCAATGCAAGTCAGTCCACCTTTCATTACTGAGATTAAAGTCAGGTTTTTTTAAAATGCATTCTACATCCATTTGTATTTCTGATGACACTCAATCCTCCAGTATTACACAACAGTCTAAAAAGAGAGGTTCTGCAATTCTTAAGAGACAATTGTATTCAGCTGCTCTGTGCTAGAAGGGTTGTGTTGCTCTATCTTTCTCTTTAAAATACCCCAAAGGTGTCATATTAGAATCAAGTCAGCTGACATATTTGGCCAGGTCATAGTTTTACTTTGTTCTTGTGCAGAACCTCTTGTTGTTTTTGGATGCTTCTCATGCTGGAATATTCCTCTTCTTCAAGCCTCTGCAGACTGGGAGTGAGCTTTTGGTTTATCCACAGACATTCGTCACACTCCCACCTGTTTGGCTGTCAGGACTATGCATTCACTGTGGTCGTCCTGGTCAGTTTTACACCCAACATGCTGGCAAATTGATCTTGGTCTCATCTGACCAAAGAATGTGCTCCCAACATTCATCAGGCTTCTTTTTCTGTTCTTAAGCAAACGCTCATCAAGACGTTTAGTTCTGAGCAGCTACAGGGTTTTTTTTCTTATCCTCCACCCATAGAGGTTGATGTTCTGACGCATCCTTCACACTGTCTGAGCTTCACAGAAACTCCGATTTCCATTGATAGGGTGATCAAGAGCCAAGTCTGAAGCAGCTGCCGCCGAAAGTAGTTCCCTGTACGTGGAGTCATTCTTGGAGGACGACCACTGGAGCTCTGATGAGTTGTACTTATGGCCCCCCCATACCTCCTGATTACTACTGACACTGTGTTTTCAACATTTTTAGTTGCTCACTGATTGTTCTTGATTCTTTGTGAAGTCTCACAGTGAGATTTTTCAGATCATCTGGCAGTTTTTCCCCATGTGGAGCCATGATGTGTACCTGCAGACAGAGCCCATAGATCCAAAACTGAGCAAGTTCTTATTTTAGAACCATGCTCACACAGTTAGACTGATTGGAAATCACAGGCCATCTGTTTTTCACAGCTAGAATGTCAAAATAGTTTACTGACCTTGGAGTCATTTTAGGAGGACGACCACTGTAGCTTTGGTTCGTGGTATTATGGCTCCTTCTATATGATCTAATTACTGCTGATTTTAATTAATTACTAATCTTTCCTGATCTTTTCAGATCTTTGTGAATTCTCACGATCATTCTAGCAATTCTTCTCCATGTGGGGCCGTAATGCAGACATGTAGACAGCCCACAGGTGCAAAACTTAGAAAGTTCTAGTGTTTACAATTTATTTTTGAAAGAATTTTCATGCAATTTGGCAAATTGAACATCACAGGTGAGCTCAGTTTAGTTTCAGTGATTACATGTGTTGTTGGATTGCGTTTCTACATTGGGGGCTGTATTTTCTATACAGTATGTCTAAAGTATTTGTTTTTGATAGTTCTAAGAAATACAGCACCTGTCAACTTAAAAATCAAGCAATTATTGTGAGGTGATGCAATTTGAAATCAGTACTCACTTAACTGGATATGGCAAAGGACAAAACTGTTGTCTTGATAGGAACAAACTCCTTTGATCCATTCAATAATCATTAACACTTTTTATTAAAGCATGTGTACCTGTGCAGCCATAAAACACAGTTTCATCACTCACTGCACACTGTGAGGTAGCTTCACACTGCATGCCATCATTTTTCCCACATACCTCTTGTGTGATAAATGAAGGAGGGTGTAGTCTCGCAAAGAGGAACCCACTGTGGGGCCCCCTGCCGTGACCGTGGACACGCAGGACCCCTCTGCTGCCACTGCTCCTCCAGCTGCAGCCATGTTGGATCCATCAGGCTCCTCCAGCAGCAGCAGCAGCAGCAGCAGTGCTAACAGTTAGCGTCAGTGGACACCGACAACCGGGCACGGCGCTGTTGTGGACAAAAACAGAACGGGAGAGACGCACCGCCACCGAGCCGGCTCCGGTACCAGCCTGGTATTTATGCGAAATTCCGCCCTCCTTGCTGGATAAGGAGCGGGGGAGAAGGCGCGGCCGGGCTCCGGGTCTGAAGCGGGTGAGTATTGATCCCTGTCAGGGGGAATAGCCCTCCGTTAGCCGAGCTAGCTTAGCATTAAAGGGGGGTAACACACATACATACACACACTCAGACACACACACACACACACACACAGACAATGGGGTTAACGGCAGTGCAGAACGCGTGGGTGTGTTTTCAGGAGCTGGAACCGGGATTTAAGGTGAATTTTGTGCTTTGAAATAGTGTTAATTCAGCCATAGCGGAGTCATTTGTATTCACCGCGGACAGACAGTGGTGCAGTGGCCGAAACCCCCTCACTCTGCTCCGGTGGGGAGCAAAGGTCCGAACCGAGCCGGATTCTGTCATCCAGGAGAACAACAACAGAAAAACAACATCTGTGTCGTGCTGAGCTGCTCACACCGAGACTTTCTTATTGTTGCTGGAGATGGTTTCTAGAGACAAAAGGAGGCAGATCTGACTGAACCTGGTCAACCACAGTACTGACTCTAATCGCTGTGGTAGGCCCATTGAAATGTGTTAATATTTAAACAAGGCCTGTTTTTTTTTAGCACCACAAACCGTTCATTTAGCAGCTTGGTGGGACTAAAAATGAAAGTAAACGTGCTCGATTCCCTGCAGCTACGTGGTCCTGGTTTCAGGGCTTTTTTGGGGGGGACTCAACGCTGTCCTGTCATGTCTCCTGCAGATTTATATTTTCCTGCTGATCACGTCCAATACAAGCCAAACAGGAGGATCTCAGTGCGTTTATAGATATTTTAATGCAATCACGGACAACAAACAACCTTTGCTAGAGTACAATCCCTTTATTGTCATTGCAC